TGGTTTTCCATTTGCAATTAAAATTAAAAAATTATTGAAGTCTTCATCGGATAGTAATTGAAAAAAATGTGGTGAAGCACTTGAATTCACAAGCTGTTTTACTGTTGCTAAACTTTAATTCAGAATAAATCTAATATGATATATAGCTGTCTAGATTCTTCTCTCCTCTCTGGATTTAATTTGAAGAAATGATTTCATTTTATATCCAACCCATCCACGAATGAATCTGAATGGTGCAGTAATGCCAAAAGGAATTCTGGAATCTTTTTTTTGTTTGATACTCATTTTTTGATTGCTGTCTGGTGGTTCCTTTATGGCTTTAAGAAATGGCAAAACCTTTGAAGCTTAACTTCAGTATATACTTTTTTTATGTTTTTATCAATGCTACTTCACGTTTTTAAATCTTCTTTCACAGATCCTAATTTATTGCCAAAATCAATGTGAACATATTCTCTCTGCTTCGTTCTGAACTTAAATTGTGGGCTGTCATATTTCAAATTATAACTATATTCAATATCAGGTTTGGAATTGAGAATCAATTTTGCAACGGTTTTCCATCCTGGAGCTATTTTATTATAAATATAAGTTAAATTATATAAATTAGATCTAATAATAAATATTTACTTGTTTCAATATCTGCTTGTTCATTATCATCATCTGTCAGGTCTTCGTCATTATCTACTGGGTTTTCATCATCATTATGTGCCAAGCTATTATTTGCTGCCAAGAATTTTTTCTCTTTTGTTGTCAACATTTTTTTTACTCATTTCACTTTCTTTTTTCCAATCTCTGGCTCTTTGAGTGATACTCGTTTTTTACTCTCATTTAAAGAAATTATAGGTTATACTTCAAAGGAGTCTTAAATAAAATCTTATTAATGAATTATCTTTTAATATATTAAATTAATTTACTATAATTATGTTAGTAATTACCAAAAGTATTTTCAGCCTTTTCTTTTCATAGTTTTACAGGGTATTCATCTGCAAATACCCAATTTTGTAAAGAGATGATCTATTCTAAGTATTTGCTTTTTTGTGTTTTTTCAGGAATCTTTAGGATTTCATCACACCCGAAAATAGACTCAAGTCGCGTATTTATATTTTTCCAGGTTATTGTATGATTTTCACCTCCCATCTCATCTAATATTTTATCTAATACGGAGCTGTTTGTTTCATTATTCTTATCTGCTTATGTACAAATTTGCTGCATTAATGATTGAAACCATTTATTAACTCATATTTTATAGGTCTAAAAATTAGTGCTAATAATATACTATCCTTTCTTGCTTTAATTTTTCAAGTTCAGATTGGGTTTCCTAGATTTACTAAAGTACTAAGTATAATAATATTTAAATAATAAATTTTTTAAATTTCTTACCATTAATTTCATTTCAGTTTCATTGAGTCTTATTTTATTTGTTCATACTCATCATTATGCTAATAAGTAAAGAGTATAAGTAATTATTTATATATTTTAGTTCTAACTAAAATGATCTATTATTTTTTACCAGAAGGTAACTATCAATATTTTCATATTTTTCTTTAATGTTGGAAGTATTTTTTTATTTCTAAGTGGTCTTTTTACAAGATTTGAACTATTTCTTGTTACAATGACACTTCCGTTCTCATTAAATTTAAGTTTGAGAATTCCTGGACATAACTTTTTTAGTTTTGCTGCTTGTCTTAAAAATTTGTCTGAAAG